AAACCACAGTGTGTTATCTAGGATTAGTTTTAGAAAGAAACTTTTCATTTATCGAACATATTAAAATAGTTAATGAAAAGTCTAAAAAGAGTTTCTGTGCATTGACAAGGATATCAACTGCAACATGGGGTCTATCATTTAATACATTAAAGATCATATACGGAGCTACTTATTTAGGTTCTATGTGCTATGGTGCACCTGTATGGGCCGATAGGGCGACCGTAGGCGCTGTCCGTCGCAAACTGTTACAAGGCCAACGACTTGCACTGATATTTTTGTGCAAGGCATATAGGACGGTTAGCACTGAGGCTTTGCCGGTTTTGGCAGGTGTCCTTCCGGTCGATCTCGAGGTGCAGAGACGTGCAGCCATGTACTATTCAAGACAAAACATGGAATGCGATTTCTTGGGCGCGCGGGATCGCGGTAAAATTACAAGATTGCTTCAACAGCAGTCCGATGTCTATAATGACCTCATAGACGAATGGCAGCAACGCTGGGACGAATCATCCAAGGGGCGCCATCTTTACCAATTTTTTCCATCTGTTCGCGAACGGTTGTCGAGGACATGGCTTGAGGTGGATCACTGTGTCGCTCAATTTCTTACGGGTCATGGTAACTTTAAGAGTAAGTTGTATTCATTTAAATTAGTCGAGTCACCATTGTGTCAATGCTCAACACCTAACTCTCATTATGAACAGTCTGCTCATCATATCCTCTGGGAATGTAGTCTTTGGTATAATGAACGTAATATAATGCTGAATAGCTTGCAGGTGACATCTGGGGCGGTATACTATGGGGATCTTGTGTCAACTAGGGTGAATTTCCGTGCGTTTAGGCGATTCTGCCATACATATTATAGAAATCAAATATAGCTCATGTAGGACCCGTAATATTTTGTGGCCGTGGTGCTTCCCTGTTTAAAAGGGTGTATGCCTATTTTACTTCATTTTGTCTCCCGCTTTGCTAAGGAGGGAAGTGGATTTACTATATTTCCAACTCCTCCAATTTTCTTCTGATTAATTTCGTTGCGGGTTCCAAGACAGTTTAATTTCTTCCTGGGACTTCCCGAGTGTCATAACTCGGTGTGTTCGTGGGTCACTGCTGTGGATCCTGGTGTACAGGAGTTACAGTGGTGGGCGTGTGGGTGGGATTAGTCCCAACTAAAAAAAAAAAGACAAATAATAAAAAATCAAATATTTTTTATTCCATTTCGCGCCATTCTTGTTACAGAAATTGAACTTGATTTGTATTCTATCTGTCTATTCTTGGTTTTAGAACTTTGCCTCTTTTGTAGTAATTGAATGGTTGTCAGTTTTTTTGCTGGCCCTGAGTTTGTTTGCTCGTAATGATGCTGTTTTCGGCTTTTGTTTTGGAGACGGATTAAGAATACAGAGTGTCACTACCCCTAATTATCCCACGGATATCGTAAGAGCCGACTAAGGGAACAAACTATGCAGGACAACAGCACAGCAAAGAGAAGGAAAACTTGTCACAAACTCTATACTAACCCGTCTGGCCAGCGTGATATAGTAGGCCGAAACCTCCTTTCTGTGGAGAGGCTTATGTCTAGCAGTGGACTATTAAATTGTAGATGATTATGAAACCATCTGTTACTGACTTTGTCGGTTTAGAATAATATGTTTGTTTTATATTAAAATAGTTGGATGAATTCAAATAATTCGCGATTAATTTAAAGAAAATCAATTTAAAAGCAGCGATGGAGTAGTGGCAGATATGCAGCATGCTTGCTTGCATGCTGCATGGCTTTATTATTATAGTACCTTGTTTCGCCAACTCCCTCCGTAACGGACTGGATATTTTTGTTGGTTCTGTGGTTTCAGTCAGGTCCAAACTAAGAAAGTTGATCGAATGATTTCGTATTATAATTTTAATGTCGTATGATTTTAAATATTTAGTAGTAATGTCTTTTATCTACTAACTACCTTTTTTTAGCTTTAGTTTTAATGCATGTAAGATTCACATCTAGTAGATGTCAATCGGAAGAATATTGTAAAATTTTATCATAATGTATATATGTGCGTGAGATTGTACATCAGTTTTGTGAATTGCAATAAAAAAAAAAGAAATACAAATGATGAATAGATAGTCTTTCAATTATTATGGAAATGAAATGTATGTCAAAAGATGATTCTCATTTAAAAATTAGAACGCTTGACCAGTTTGTAATTAGTATTTTCTGTTAAAAGACAACAAAAGATAGGCCTATTGATCTATTGTTTAGTGATCTTGACTGCTAATTCAAAGGTTTGATTACCAATCATGACAAGTATTTGTGTGTGAGCACGATCATATCTTCTGTGTGAGTGTAATTTAGCTATAATATGTATGTATTTAGAGATAAAAGTATGTTTAGGTATCTGTATTCCGGTCACCATAGTACATAGAAAAGAGCGTACTCCTTCCTCAAAGGCTGGCAACGCGCTTGTGACTCCTGAGTTGCAGGCGTTCATGGGAGGCGGTAGTCGCTTTCCATCAGGTGACCCGTCTGCTCGTTTGTCCTCTCTTCCATAAATAAAAAACATCCTCTGCTTGGTTTGGGAGTCATGTCTGATATATGGCAAGGTATTATATGATATGTATTGGTATTTGCAATTAAACGATCATAATCCAACATATCAACTATATCTTTATTCATAATTTGCATATAATTTATTACACGGTAATTATATATTACAGGACTTGGCTTAAAACATTACATCTATATAGTTATGTTAAGTTAACATACAGTCACGACGCTAGTTTAGTTCTTATTTTAATTAATGTTATATTCAGGTTATCCACGTAATTATGCAGAAGAATAAATTAGAGTATGTATTTAAAGTAAAAATCAGAAAAACTAAAACTTCTGAAACTACTCCTTAAAAATGAGGATAAGAAAATAAATTAAAATTGTATTGATTGCGCTAAAGATTAAAATAAATCCCTTTGTGGGTACCCTGTTGAATACTATACCAGTATATGCACGGAAAAACTCAATATTTTCTTTTGTAAACACTCACTGAAATAGAAGAATTCCTTGCAATGAAATTGACTTAACTCAAAATGCCTAGAATTTGACCTTTAAAGGTTAGCTTTAAACCACCATAGGAAAAATTGTACTGTACAAAAGAACAGTCTGCAAATCGGTCACTTTCTTTAATGACTATTATAATGCTACATAATTATTCTCTTGTTGAAGGTATTCGTGCTCATTTAACACGAACTCTATTTTGAGTTAATTCACTTTCATTCTAAGGATGCAACATCTAAATTTACTTTTTTCAATGGTATATTAAAATTTGGTATTCAGAATATGGACGATCGGAACATATGTTAGTAATTGATTTATTGAAAGGTTACAATCAAATGTATATTTAAGATAAAAATGTCGTATCTATCTCAACATATTTTGAATTCAAAATTCACTAAAAACCCTTTATTTTTATTAATAGTTGTTATTCATAAATTAAAGGTTAAAAATAACTGGTCTCTGTTATGCTTGTAAATTCATACGTATAAATTTTTTGTTTACATTGATGACATTTTTACGTATTCTGACTATTGTAACAACCATTTTTATTATGTCATTATAAAGCTTAAAGTTAGTATTATTAATTTATACATGACTTAGGATAACGCTATATTTAACTAACTATTTAGAATATATATATTTATATATATTAATAATTATTTACAAAATAACTCGCTGGTTCACAATTTAGTAAATTAAGTGATTAATACTGTAAAGAAAGATGTCACATTTTGTCCCTAAACTAAATTTTATTAAAGTAATAAACTTAATATTAAATAAAACGATTTTTATAACTCGGAATAAATAAATTTGACACTTTGAAATAAATTAACTTATTTTATAAAGGCTTCTTAAAAAGCTACGTTATAAATTATTGCCTTAATTATTGTGAAAAATCAGTGACTGACCGTCTGAATGAAAATTTTCAAGTCTTCTGTACAAAATTAGTTATAATATAATTGATTACCGCTCACACTTTTGTGTTTTACTGGCATATATAATAAACGAATTTAGGCACGCTTTATGCCGTGGGACAGCAATGCTTCCGTACGATAGGACCGGGTGAATAACGTGGAAACCACGGCCTTACAGAAAACTGGCGTTAAGGAATTCTTGGAATGCTTTTTACCGAGAGGATATCGGAAGCCCAACCAAGTGGAAAGAGGCTTACTTTGCGAGAGAGGGAGTGCTCTTCGGCCGGGAATGTGCAAAAAGGAGTTGCTTCAAGCAGGCTAGAGAATAAGGCCAATAGTTCAGTATCTCTCTCGGTCTAGATTTAATTAAAGAACAGCAAATTACGACGATCATAAAAAACTAAGGGGCACTCATCTGAAATTTCAACAACAACAAACGCTAACACTGATACTAAATTGCTAATTTTGGCCTGCATCAGTCCTTATAATATTTTATAGTAGGTGTAATTTAAAATGCAATAACATATAGCTGGAAAAAATTAAACAGCAAAAAACACCATTAACTCTGAAATTCTAAGACTCCAATGTACACATACCCAGGATGCAGTTCTGGCATAAACTTTCTTTCTGCTATTGGCTAGATCTGTGACATAGGTTGGCAACACACAAAACTAGTGTGCCAAATTGTACATAATTTTTTTTAGGTTACCATTCACATTTTAAATTATACTCCACCATTTTTATTATTTACATCAATAATTATTATTTAACAATAAATGTAGAAATGTACACTATTCTTGACTAGGAAAGTTTACTATGAACTTATGATAATCACTATAGTATACTTTTTGTTTTATCTCTAATATAGATTAAAAAAAATATTCTGCGAAAAAGAACTTTTCACAAATGGTATATTCGAGATTTAACTCTGTTTATCCGAAAATTTTGTAGGTCTGAATAGTACAAAAATAAAAATAAAAAACAGCAAAATAATTAACTTACAATTTAGTCTTTATAAAAACTAACAATTATAAAAATTAAAAATACATCTATTTTCATACCACATACGGTCTAAACATATCCAAGGGCCGACCGCCACCTTGGTTCATAACGACTAAGCCGCGTCTGTTTTCCATATTTGAATTAAAATTAGCTGCAGCCATTGCCCTTTCTCTTTCTAACGCAATGATTCTATCCCTGTCCAACAACGGTTTGACAGCTGTCAAGTCACCTGCCATTTGAGTTTGCTTTTCCTGTTCGTTCGGTATTTCTTTTGGTTTTTTCTCCTCTGCTTGTGCGTCCTTGCTTTTGGAGTCTTGTTGCGCCTTTTTTGATCGTTTCCACTTCATCCTTCTGTTTTGGAACCATATTTTTACCTGAGGACAAAGGACATTTTGTATGAAATGTATGAAATAAAATGTAGTTTACAAACAAATTTATATATGACACGCAATCTTCGTTACACTTTTTCTTCAAGATAATATTGGTTGAAAGTAATGCTACGCATTCTAATTACTCATTTCGAATATTTTTTCGTTGATGACTCGTTGAAGTATATTGGTTTAATCTGGACTCAAAATCCTCGACTTTTTATTACATAAAATATTTTTAAATCATCTTCTACTTCCAATATATGACAGTATAAAGTTTCCCGCACCTACGCACTAGAAATCCAAACAGGTGTACAATAAATATTTCTTGAATTCCCCTCACGCCCCCAGGGTGTAAGATTAATCTTTAAACCGGCATAAACCCAAGTAACACTCGCAACAATCGGGTAAACCCAAGTCCGTAACATTTACGTGAACGACCTCTGTAATCTTGACATTTGTAACGTCGTGACAGGTGTTGGCGCCAAAACAAATGTCAAAATCCGGTTGGGGTCGAGATTATATTCAATGTTTCTAGTTAGGTTACAATTTAAGTGCAATCTTACTTATTTGTGAAATTTTTTAAAAACGTACTATTCTTTGTTGTGAAGTGTCTTGTGGAGAAGAATAATCTGTAGGTATATTTAATTGAATGAAGTCCCTCTTCAGATTTTTAATCTACATGTAAAGGACGCAAAAATGGGCTTCCCTTTTATTAAAATCAGTCTTGTAATTGATCCGAAAACAAAATGTGCAATTATTTATTTATTCATTGAAATATTACACACGGCAGACTTAATCCCACGGGCATTTTGTTCTAGGAAAATATTTAATAAATAAACATACTTATATATCTCTAAATCCACATATAATATTATATAAAAGTTTCAACCCAGACACAGTCCAAATGATCGTGCTCATCACACAATATTTGAATTTTAACCTTTTAATATAACCTTTCAGAATTCAGTTATAATATTAATAATTAGTCTTAACTATAGTCTATGCATAATATTGTAACAATTTTTACAGTTTAATAAAAAAGTGCTTGCCTAAATTACCATGATTACTGTTTATTGAAGCGTCCTATTGTTTAATTATCTATGGAAATTATCTATTTAATTAATGGCAACACCAATAAGCAATATTTGCTCAACGATATCAAAGTGATTGTGAATTGAAATGAGACCGATTTCGGGAATTAGTTTGTCATGATTCGTTATTTTTATGATATTGTGACGACTACTGCTAAGCTGACGACGTGACGTGACTTTCATTCCCACCCAGGACAAATATTGTGTGATGAGGACGATCCTTTATTCTTTTTTTTTATGTTAGAGGGGGCAGACGAGCAGTCGGGTCACCTGATGGAAGGTGACCGTCGCCGCCCATGAACGTCTGTAACTCAGGAGTCACAAACGCGTTGCCGGCCTTATTCGGTAGCTAGGTGTAATTTATCTGTAGGTATATGTTTAGAAGTATCTATAGGTAAATGTTTACTTGGTAATAAGTAAGTAGGACTCCGTGTGGTGACAGATTAAGAATACGGAGCGTCACCACCCCTATTCATCCCGTGGGTGTCGTAAAAGGCGACTAAAGGAGCAGACTACGCAGGACAACAGCACTGCAAAGATAAGGAAAACTTAAAAAAACCCTATACCAACCCGTCTGGCCAGCGTGGTATAGTAGGCCAAAACCTCCTTTCGAAGGAGAACCTATGTCCAGCAGCGTACCATTAAAGGCTGTTGATGAAGTAGGACTTAAATTGTGCGATTTAATACATTTTACCTACGATAAATTCTTTGAAATAAAAATCGAATTTAAAATTTATAATCTCACCTGTGTCTCAGTCAGCATCAAGCTGGTTGCGACTTCAAACCTCTTTGGTCTGGAGAGGTATTTGTTCATCCTGAATTGTTTTTCCAGCTCTAAAAGTTGCTGAGACGTGAAGGCAGTTCGAGGTCTTCTGGTCTTGCCGAGGAGTGCGTGTGGGGCTCCTGTTGAAAAGAAACAATGGCTTAGAAACTTTTATAATGAAATTGATGTATAATTTTAGGTTGACAGAATATAGTTTGCCAGCCAGCCAGCCATACTAACTGTGGGATAGCCATGCCTCGGCAAAAATAGGCCGGCTCGACCTGTGTACTACCACGGACTCGCAGAAAAAAAAATGTTAAGTGATTTGTGATGAAATAAATGTAGATTTGTAATTATTTATGCATAAAAGAACAATATTATACATTTAGGACACTTTATAAATATGCTTTAACACTATTCTCGGCACCCTCCATTAATACTGCAGCCCCATAAAAGAGCATACCAATAAATACAAAGAACCTAATACAATTATCAAATAAAAAAGATGGCGATTCGCGCCAAAACTTGACAGATGTGTCTATGACATTATCGTGTTGTGTCAACAATACCAAATGTTACCATCGCTTTGGTAATTGTTAATTATCATTTTTATAAGCTTAGTTCAGCTTAGCGGGTAACTTTGATCCGATAAATTAGATTTGTTCGGTTAAATAAATACGTGTATGTTTTATTGTTGATTAGAAACATTAATGGCGTAAATTGTAGGGTGACGAGGCTACACCTATCTACACTCAAGTTTATTAATGGAATCAACGAGTATGAATATATTATTACACTAGTTGGTACCCGCGACTTCGTTCGCGTGGAATTTGAAAAGCGCTGCCTTAGTGGGTTCGATTCCCGGACCGGGCAAAATTTTAAAGGGTTTTTCTGAGAGGAAAAATAGCCTAAGTTATCCCCTCTATAGTAAAATAATATCAAAATCGGATCAAAATGATAACCCGGAACAATCAGACAGACACACAGATCGACAAAAAAAACTTAAAACTGGTTTTTAGGCATAGATATCATGCAAATAACCGTGTGAGCATGAAAAAACTTATTATTTTGACATTACAAATCAATTAAATCAATACAAACCAGTCTCAAGTAATTTACATTATTAATCTACTAGCACTTTAAAATATTAACGTCCTTTATCTTACATCATAGTCCAGCGACCACCCGAAACAGGCAGGGACGGATCTTGGGGGCAAACCGGGGCACGCGCCACGGGCGACAGTTTCAGAGGGCGCCAAAATCATAACGTGGTATTAAAAATAAAAATAAAACTTGCTCTAGAAAGCGCCTAGCATACGGAAACCTGGTTGGTTCACCGTCGACTTATAAGACAAGGTGCCACACAGGCCCACACTACAAGTGAACTGATATATTTGTGAGTAATTTTTCTCAAACGCTGGAGAGAGGGGCGCCACTATCAAGTTTCTGCCCCGGTTCGAAAAAGTCGTAGATCCGGGGCTGAACACAACACTGGCCGTTTGCAAAAGAATTTGTAATATTTAGATTTTACTTTTTTTCTACGTTTTAGAATAGTCATAATAATAGTTTTTAGTCTAGTCTAGTCATAATAAAAGGTTAGCTTTATAGAGGAATCTAATGCCAATAAGACCGAAAAAGACCTTGTTCTTATTCTATAAATAAATTTAATTAATTTTAATTATCTAATAATTAATGTAATAAGTGAATTACAAACTTTTGTAGAATCGTTTCTTTTGTTATGGAATTTTATGATGTCAATTTTTTATGGATTTTAAGCGACTTCAAAACACACGGACGGTATTAAATTATACTTATTGTATAATGTTTTTTTTCGCATACAGTGGATATAATTGACTCAGTAATCTTTAACAACAATTAAAACAAAAATTATTCTCATTTGTCATAATCTGACATTAATAACAATATGTTAAGTTTATGTATGGGCTGTGGACACCGTATGGCGCAATTCTGGCGACATATTCCGAACTGTGAGGCTTAAAGGTTTACCAGATTAAAAAAAGCAGAACAATTGAACCTACATGAGTAGGGGTACAACAAATGTACAATCGGTAAAATAATCAGTTTGCAGTAAATCTTAGAAACCATTTAATGTTAAAACGATGGACATTCGATGACTTTGAATAACAATTTACCGTCTTCCTAACAAATAGGCTCTGTAAACAGGAGTGCATACCTACATACATACTGCGTTAGCTACCGTTGAATAAAGACGGCTCTTTGTCTATGCTCGTCCCACGCTCACCCAAACAAACAAAGGAATAAGGTCGTGTAAGGTGTGCTACTGGCATTTCATAGCTTGATGAATTTAAAAAATATTTAAAGTATTATTTATTTCAAAAAAATACGTTTTAATGTACACTATGGTCGTCCCACACTAGCTATAACAAACAAAGAAACAAGGTCGTGTAGGCTGTGCAACTGGCAGTGCATAACTAAAGAATTTCAAAAAATATATACTCTATTCTTTATTTAAAAAATGACATTCCCTTAACTTACCCATAAAGAAACTACCATAGTCAAAGGACAAAATCAACACTTATACAGCCTATTTTTTTTAAACTTATAAATGCATTAAGACCTACATGTAGGTACACAGAATAAATATAAATGCGTGCTCAAGTGTCGAAATGGTAAATAAATAGTTAACTAGTGTAGGCCGAACGTGACTTTTCTGTGCGTCACGCGGTTTAAAAATGATGTTTGATTTCTTCCTGTCAAATATGTTTGTTCTCGTATAATAAATTTATAATTTATTTTCTCTGTAGTTTTATTTGTTTATGATTGTATATTTAGAGTGCAATTACCATGATAAGTATTGTAGGTTTGGTACTACAGTCGAGGAAAAGATGATGAGGGTTGATTCAAGCATCGTGATTGTGAACAGGTGCAACTTTTGACAGGTCGGTATTGGCGCCATTATTGTGTTTAGTCTCTGGTTATACCATAGTCGTTTTTATAGTCGAATACGTTAGATATTTACTGTTAGAAAACGGGATTACCTTTCCGTGTGGTAACGGATTAAGAATACGGAGTGTCACCACCCCTATTTATCCCGTGGGTGTCGTAAGAGCCGAGACTAAGGGAGGACAACAGCACTGAGATGGAAAACTTGAAACAAACCCTATACCAACCCGTCTGGCCAGAGAGGTATAGTAGGCCAAAACTTCCTTTCTAAGGAGAGGTCTATGTCCAGGAGTGGACTATTAAAGGCTGTTGATGATGATGATGAAGGATGATCACTGTCATCATACCATGACCCCCCCCCCCTGATACTAGGTCTCAAAGTGTCATGACTTGCAAATGTCCTTGGTCCGCGATAGCCACGTCTTAAATTTTTTCGAACGAGCACCAATCTCTTTAAGTTAAAAAAGGCATCTTTATACATAACAAGACAATCCAATCACAATATAAACAAGATAAATTCTCAAAAACAAGCAGTTCCACGGTAAGTAGGTAGTATAAATCAATTGTCATATATTACTCCTACCTCCCCCCTACTGACAAACGCTCCGAGTATTTATACGGAAAGTTTCTATTAAGCGTAGTGCACACGAGGGATAAGTAACTCTACTTTGTCTATTATTCCTCTTAGATTTTAGTAAAATTCGTGTGATACACATATGGTTGTTTAACTTCCTGTTGTTTTGTGTCCATTGTTTTGATGTTGACGTAGATTTCATTACAAAGACATAATCTTAAAAAAAAAGCTTAAAATGGTTAACGTTTAAGCATATTGTCCTGCTCTTATAATTAACTTTACTTTGGCAGATTATAAGAGAAACAGTCAATATATTTTATCATTTAAAATGACACAGTCAAATCATAATTAATGAATGGTACACCTAAATGGTATACCCAATATTACTCCTACAACTAAGACAAATATAAAAACACTTCCTACATATATATATTTTTAAATTTACATTTCATGAAAAAAAAACATTCATAGACTTCACGCCTAAGGCATTCTCTGCCAGTTGACCGAATGGCCGATGCATGTATAGAAATAAATGAAAATTTTCAAGCTTTAGAAGGTGTCAATAAATATATACCTACGCTTTTAAAATTGTCCAATCGACTATCGTGTTGAAATATTATCAAATAAATCCCTATATTGAAGTAGAGCAACTTACCTAATACAATGTTTCCCCATGAATTTATGTGTGTACCACCATGGATAAAAGTCGGATTGCGTCTTTTAATCTAATAGAGGTTTGCACAGCATATTGGGGTTGGCTTCCACTGTTACTACTGAGCGAACTGTCTCTGAGATGTATTGGCCGCCATATTGGCTTGGAACTTGACACATGAAGTGTTGTACCTATATTATTTTGTAATAAAAATAGATACTAATATCTCTGTATAAATTTTTATAGTGTTGTAAATAAGTAGTTAAAAAGTATTAAGTATTTATGGCAAAAAAAAATGAAAATGAAAATTTTAACATCCATACATACAGCCTTTAATAGTCCACTACTGGACATAGGCCTCTCCATAGAAGGGTTTTTTTTTATTTTTTTTGCTTTAAAACGACTACTCCCGCACTGGGAATAAATTCTGTGTCGCGGGGGACTTTACAAACATACATGAAACGAATACAAAGAACACCCAGACTCAGAACAACAATTTGTAGATCACAAAAAGTGTCGTCCCATGTGGGGATCGAACCCACAACACTCAGCGTAGTAGTAAGCGGTGTGCCGACCGCTTAAGCCACTAAACTATCTGTGCAGTTTGGCGTAGGGGTTCAAGCGGTCACTGAGTGTTATGGGTACCATGTACCATGGGACGACACTTTTTGTGATCTACAAATTGTTGTTCTGAGTCTGGGTGTTCTTTGTATTCGTTTCATGTATGTTTGTAAAGTCCCCCGCGACACAGGATATATTCCTAGTGCGGGAGTTGTCTTTCTTAAAGAATAAAGAAACAAACGCGCAGTCCTACTAGTGGGCCTACTATACCACGCTGGCTATAGGGCTTTTTACAAATTTCTTCCTCTTAACAGTGCTGATGTCCTGCGTAGTTTGCTGCCTTAGTTGGCTCTTACGACACGATATGAATAAGGGTGGTGACACTCCGTATTTTTAATCCGTCACCACACACACCATACTTATAAATG